TCAACAACTCAGGAATATGCACGACTGTGATGAAAACTATTATCGGCAACAGCAAGCGAAGCCCCCACCTAAACGCCTGAGAGCACGTAAAATCATCTCTGCCTGTTATTGCAACGGACATGTCCGCGCGCTTGTTAGGAAACGTGGGCGACAAACCATGATGCCAATCGGCTGTTTCCTCACATTTTTAAAATTATCATAATTCTCTGGAATATGGATGAAGCCCGTAAACTTCCGTGATTTTTCTAGAATAGCGTCAAGCCTTCCCGAAATCTTAGATGCTAAATGGCGTTTGAAAAAATTCGGAAGCGGCCGAAACAGATCAAATCCAGCGCACGCTTTTTCGTGTGGACGGATAAAAACGAGCGTATGCCGCATATTACCAGCATCCTAGAATATCTCTAAGCATTATTAAGCGAGAGCGAGAAAACAAACATTGCATAGTCCAGTTAGGGTCCCACCAGTACTCGCGTAAAAGCTCCGGGAAGACGGTTTTATTTGTGTTTCCTTGAGGGGTGCGCGCACGCACGCGCTTACAAAAGACAAAAACATGGGCGCACGGACGCACGCAGATGCAATCAACGCGAAGAGAAACCCTCCCGTGGCAGAATAGCACAGTGGTAAAACGACACCTTCCCCGGCCCCCCACACACAATGACACACACACCGAAAGGAGGAGCCGCCAAGCCGCGCCGCGTAAACGGAACCCCACGGCCATGCAGGAGGCTCAAACGTCTGCCGCGCACAGACAAAGCCCCCCTAACGTTCGCTAAACTGCACATGTACTACGCGACGCGGGTACGCACGCCCGCAGTATCGGGGCAGAGGAGCCGAGGCCCGCCAAACTCGTTGGAGTCGCCGCTGAGTCTGTGCCGGTCCAAACATCCCCCCCCCCCCTCCCCCCCCATTCCCATCTGGGAAGCGCTGGTGCCGCTTCGTCTGCAATACACAGTCCCCTCCCCATTTCCGATTTAGCGCTTAAGCCGCGCACAGTCGCACACGCAAAATGTCACATCCTCTCTCAAAGTCCTCCAAAGCAAACGCCACCTGCAGTTGCTTCCCCCAAACGTTACCAGACCACCCCTACGAATCTCGTTCTGGGCTATAACAGAAGTTCCTTCCAAGTTTCTGCTCCGTCTGCAGCATGTTTGTGCGTATAAGGGCACCAACATGCTGCAGACACTGCCAAATGTTAAGTCGGCTATCAGTCGCGAAGAGTACGCACACGCAAGCAAATCCATACCGACATCTCCTGAGTCCTGACTCCTAGTTCACGAACTCAGTCCCCATCACATCGCAAATTCAGTTCACGAATGCATTCACCATCACATCACGTATATACCAGAGTCACGAAGTCCTTCACCACTGCATCACGGGTGCGTCAGAGTTCACGAGGTCACTCCCCGTCACATCACGACTCCTTCCGAGTTCATGAAGTCACTCCCCTTCGCATCACGACTCGTTCCGCGTTCACGAAGTCACATCCCCTTCACATCACGGCTTCTTCCGAGTTCACGGAGTCACGCCCGTTCACATCACGACTCCTTCCGCGTTCACGAAGTCACATCCCCTTCACATCACGAGTTCTTTCGCGTTCACGGAGTCACGCCCATTCACATCACGACTCCTTCCGCGTTCACGAAATCACATCCCCTTCACATCACGACTTGGTCCGAGTTCACGAAGTCATTCACAGCCCTTCACCATGACGCGGTGAGCGTGAGTGAGTGTGAGTGAGCGAGTTCGTGAGTGACTTCGCCGAGGTATGCTTGCAACTGGGCAGGACCGGCTCAGACACGACCGGATTTTAAGCCTCTTGCGACAGCTTAGGACCTGCTCCGCAGCAGCGCATCCTGTCCTACGCCGCGAATACAGGCTTAAAAAGCAATCTTCTCTCAGTCGGCCTTACTCGGTTGCAAGTGTGTGAACGGGCCATTGCGAACACGAATTGCTAAAAGCTTGAAGAACGCGCAAACGCACGACGTGCGTGTTTTTCATGTGTCTCGCACAAAAAAAAAAAAAGAAAAAAATTTGGTCGCCGCTTTTTTTACTTTACTTCCCCTTACTTTTCAGTTCAGTTTCAGGTTCGGTTTCGAGGATTTGCGTTTTTATTTATTACTTTATTAAAAATTAACAGTACGCATTAGCAAAATGATGATTGGGTAGTCTTCGAGCACCATAATAATTCGTCTAGCAAAAAATAAAAAATAAAAATATTTCGAGGGTTTTGAGGGACGCAGCCCGACAATACAAACTAATGGGGCCAGTCAAGCAGCTTCAAAAGAGCAAGTCATTTGGCCTTTTTTGTTTGTGATTGTTCAGCGTTGATAGAACATCTACAGAAATATTACGGGCACCATGATGTTGCACTTTTGACGCTGTCTGATTTGTCTCATCAGCTCGTAGCGTCGGCTGCGTATGGGCTTAAAAGGGGTGCGCCGTCATTTTATTCATAGTCCCCGATTGGCTTGAAAATTTGCTAAACACGCCAACATACATCGCCGAAATAGTAGGCTAAATATTGGGCCTGATTATGTTTTTTTCCCGAAGTTATTGAATTTACCATTTTGATCGTCACCGACGTCCATTCTCTACTGGCCACAATAAAAAAGTGGCGGCAGCGGAGAGCAAGCAGGGGTTCATTCTTTTGACTGGAGACTTCCAAACTGATTACAAGCAGTTTCATTGTCTCAAATGAATGCTTCGGAAGCTCGTTCCAGCACCCGCGCAGCAGCAGCAAACAAGTGTTCGGCGTAGCTCATTTTTGAACTGACCGCTCGGCCTGTAGAACTTTTTTCCGGAGGCCTGAATCCGCGTCTGGAAAAGGTGGGTGACAGGGTTCGCTGCTGTATTCGAACCTCCTTGGAGAATCGCAACGCGCGGTTTCGTTTGAATTATTCGTTGCTACCCCCTCCCTACGTTCGTACACTTCTCTGAAACCACTCTTTTTTTTTGCCTTGTTAAGTGTCCTCAAGGACCTCCATCGCCCTAGGCGCTCCTCCCTAAATGTGTCCGATTTACATTGGGAAAAGGGACTTTTGGGACGCCACTATCAATGTCAACGCAACTCGATGAGTCTACAAGATGTCACTGACGTGCTACGTGCGGCCAACAAGCGCTCGTTTTCTAGCCATGTATTCTCAAGCCCTAAATAAGGAAAAGCGTCCAATCCCGAGAGAACCTTACTTTCACGAATTTTGTAATTTTGAAATACCTGGAAATAATGGAGGCCCCGAATGATTAATTTCATGGTGATGAATATTTAGCATGCTACATGAAATCTGGAAAAATCCTGCCCGCGAAATACCTTCAACTGGCACTTGGAAGAATTTGGAAACCGTCGAGATCGCGAGCCGCCATTACTAAAAATGTGTAATCCGACGCCACTGCTGAGCGTGCCTGCGTGTTCTTCACATGCGCATTCATCAAAAACTCTGGCTGCCCGACCAAGTTCTAGTTAGGCTGTTATGTACGTGCAATGCGTGACGAATGCTTCATGAGCCAACTCTGCCGTCAAAATAAAGCACGGAAGGTGCCATGTCTAAAAAACATGAGTCCCGTTTGTTCCTAAAATATTTCGACATACATTATGTTGCATATCCAGAGTTGTTTCAGAATAAACTTGCATTGCAGCAGCAAACGCGCTTCATGAAGGTCATAAAGATCACAGCAAATGTGATTTTAAGGCAACTCATCACAAATAGACCACCCTTTTCTGACTTTTTATTCTTAGGTTACCAGCTTCCACAACTTTCCAGGTATCCTCGAACGTAATTGAATTACTTTTTAAAAGGGTTTGTACTCTATCCAAGATATTTCGCACTAACAATAATCTCAATAAAACTTTAAATACGTTTTCAAATGTGTATTTCGTATTTTATCTTAAATATATTTGTCGGTATCTGGCACAACAAGGAGCAGGAGTCGCAAGGATTTTATAGGTCTCCGGAACCCTCAAGCAGGTATTCGGATAGCACCGTTTGAACCGCCCTTTGGCTCAAGCATAAAACAAACAGATACGAGTATGAACGCACGAATCTGTGTTGAAGTTTTAGAAGATTTATTCTTGATATTCAATGTTCTGCTAGTATCTACATGTTTTATACCACAGTGCGGGCCAGGCGGATCGGACGCAGATTATGCATAAACGGCACTAAATTGATATCCCAAAGGTATGGCATAGATTACCACGTTGGGACATTTGATAAAACTGAAGATTAGAAAGAATTGCGAGCATATTTCGTTACCAGTTTTGCCAAATCAAGCCCTGTACCGGCGTATGTCTTTTTCTTGTCTTTACATAAAATGGGCTTAGTTCACACATTTCTTTTTTTCAATCTCCCTTTTTGTGTGGGGAAAATATTAAGTTGGAGAGATCTTCCCAAAACAAACGTATATCATCTAGCCGCACGCCTGCGATAAATTGCAGTGACGTGACCATGCACAGTCCATGTGATGGTTTGCCTGGAAGCTGTCTCAACCAACAAATCCTGTATAACAAGGCCGTAGTGCTCTATTAGGGACGCCACCAACCGGAGGTCATCTCGGGGCCCAAAGAAAACACGAATGCTGCGTCAACTTTTGGCTGGGACTTGTGTTCTAAGATAATTAAACGCGAGTTCAAGCCGAACGCTTACGCAGCACTTGTGTCAATACGCGCACAGCGCTGGCCCTCGGCAGGTGACCTATAAAACTCAACACTACGGCCTTGTTATCTAGGATGGACACGAGTCAATACCGCCTAGAAGACAAGGCCTGCGCATGACGTCATCATTAGTGGATCCCCGACGTTCCCCAAGCGCCAAACACGCGGAGGCTCGACGAGAGCCACTGCAAAGCCGCAGACGCGTCCGTCTTGACGTCGCTGCACGGTAACCTCGCGTTCGTTCTGAGATACTGGAAGAGGTGCTGACGGCAAGGCTGACGCAAGGTAGGCGGCGAGGTGTGGAATCCACTACTGGTGACGTTGGCGCCGGCCTTGTCTTATATGTGGTATTGCACTAGGCTCCCAGGTTAGGACTAAATCGTGCGGATGAACCCGTATACAAGGCCATGGCGAGCACGGTAGTACAGCTGACGGAGTGCACTAGTCTGCCGGATGCGCCGGTGACGCCGGTGAACTTGAACGAGCGGTACACTTGGGTCTCGAGCTTTTTGACGGGCCGCAGGTTTCCGGCCACCGTGTGCTTGCAGCTGCCTTCGTAGTGGTACAGGTTTCTGCGGAGGGCCTGGAGCTGCGGGGGAGTGGGAAGCAGAGTGCTTTCATAAAAAATTTTACTAGGGAATTCGTGCCCTAAGGCTGGTTCACAGACAATAGACCGGATGGATGGATGGATGAATACGGCTGAGCCCTTTGGATCGGGCGGTAGCTTACGCCACCTAGCCATTTTGTTTTACCATTTAAGCCTAGAATATTTAAATGTGAAATCTATATTCACTCCGCAGTGCAAAGAAAGTGAGGCTACGAAACCCCCTTGCCATCAGTGAATAAGAAAATACCTAGTTTTCTCTCGATTTCTGCCACCATTCACTTAATCTTTGCTTGGTAATCTCTACAGTCTTGAAATCCACTCTCCCTTCGCTGTCTCTAAAACCCAATGACTTTATTAAATCTATGTTGTCTTCGGTAGGCATAGGGTGAAGCCCTTTACAGTAGAGTATCACGTGCTCAGCCGTCTCGTCCTCCTCTCCACAAGCAGTGCACACTGTATCAATTTCCTGGTACTTCACTCTGTATGTTCTGGTTCGCAGAACACCCGTTCTTGCCTCAAACAGCAATGAGCTTCCCCTAGAATTGTCATAAATGCTTTCTTTGGCAATAACTCTTTTGTTTAATCTATAGCTTTCCAGAGCCGTCTTTGTCTGCATTCCCTCTAGCCACCGATCTCTTTCTGTGGCCTTAACTTTCTTCTTAACTGAGACTTGCTCTTCCGTATCTTCGCTATAGCCCAAAAACTTTCCTCTTAATATCCTAGTGCGCTGTCTCCACTTTGTGTCTACACTCCTCATGTATAAATAGCTGAAAACCTTTCGTGCCCATTGCTCCCCGTCCATTTGCCTCAACCTATCCTCAAATTCTACCTTGCTCACCGCTTCCCTGCTCTCAAATGATGCCCATCCCATGTCTCCTTGTACTCCCTGGTTTGGCGTTTTGCAATGTGCCCCCAAAGCCAGTCTACCTACTCCACGCTGTTTTATTTCTAGTCTCGCATGCACTTCGGATTTCATGCATAGCACTGCGTTTCCAAAAGTCAAGCCAGGCACCATGACCCCTTTCCAAATCTCTATCACCAGCTCAAACCTGTTGTAATTCCAAAGTGCTCTATTTTTCATTACAGCTGCATTTCTCTTGCCCTTACCTATTATATACTTTTCATGGTCTCTGAGATATTCTGCACCATCACATATCTATACTCCTAGATACTTGTATTTACTAGCTCTCTCAACTGTAATATTCTGTATCTTCAGCCTCTCAACTTCATCCTCGTTAAAAATCATGACTGCCGATTTTTCGCTACTGAATTCTAAACCTAATTCCTCTCCTTCCCTACCACAGATGCTCATTAATTCCTGCAACTCTGTCCTGTTGTTAGCCATTAGTACAATATCACCCGCATACATCAATCCCGGTAAGGATTGCTGAATTTTTTGGCCTAGCTTACTGTAAGAAAGGTTGAACCCAAGCCCACTCTTCTCTAGTCTATCCTCCAATCCTCTCAGATACAACATAAACAGCAAAGGCGATAACGGGCACCCCTGCCTAAGGCCTCGTCTTATCTCTATTTTCCCTGTCGCCTTTCCTTCCCATGTTATAATCACCTTGTTATCTTTGTAAATGTTCCTTAATAGTGCTGTTAGTCCTTCATCTAGGTTTAAGTTCTCCATTATGTCCCACAGGTTTCTTTGGTTCACATTGTCATAGGCACCCTTGATATCCAGAAATGCCAGCCAGAGTTGTCTGTTTTCTTTTTGCGCTATTTCTATACACTGTGTTAGAGAAAATAAATTGTCCTCCAACCTTCTTTGTTTTCGAAACCCGTTCTGTAACTCGCCCAGTATGCCCTCGCAATCTACCCATTCCTCCAGTCTGTTCTTTATAATCTGCATTACCAACCTGTAAATAACCGGTGTCACGGTTATAGGACGATAATTCCTAATATCAGACTTATCTCCCTTTCCCTTATATATCATACTCATCCTACTAAGCCTCCATTCATCTGGAATATTTCCTTTTGTTATCATGGTACTCACTACCTCCCTTAGTTTTGCCTTAGATTTAGGACCCAAATTCTTCACCAGCTTGATAGGGATACCATCTGTGCCTGTCGATGTGCCACTAGGGACTCTTCGTTCCGCCTTTTCCCATTCTCTTTGTCCAAAATCCGCGATGTCACAAACTGGACTGCTACTTCCTTCGGTTCTCCTATCTTCCACATGTAACCGTTCCCGAAATTTCTCCTCCATCACTGCTCCTATATATTGTATCGCATCATCTCCCTCTAATTGATCTCCCTGATGCGAGAGTATGAACCTCTGTCTAGCTTGCGTTGTTTCAACGAGTGAGTTCAAGTGCTCCCAAAACTTCTTGGCAGCGTTTCTATCTTTCTTACTTACATTACTCATCCATTCCTCACCCTTTCTCTGAATTTTCGCATTGATCAAACTGGATGCTTCTCGGCGACATGTTATAAAATTGTCCCATTTTCTTTTTACTTCCGTTTCGGACTCCCCACTACGCTTGGAATACCTGTGTTCTCTAGAGGCTTCCTGACGTTTTTGTATCGCTTGCTTCACTTCTTTGTCCCACAGCTTTTTGGTCTATGTCCTTGCTTCCCCTTTCGTTTACTCTTAACTTTGTCTAGTTCTAGAGCAAAAAGCCTAGTTAGGCTCTCATAGGTCCAATCTGTATGCCATTGCCCTGAAACTGCTGCCTCTATTCTTTCAACAACTATTTCCAACTCTTTGTCGCTGCAGAAAGTTTGCTTTGAATTATGTTGTCTAGTTTCAGCATTTACTTCTCTGGCAAAATTCAGCTTAATACGTTTGTGATCACTACCAAGACTTTTGGAACCTTCTTCATCTATTTTCATTACTTGTAACTTACCATATATTTTGTGTGACATGAGTACGTAATCTATAGTTGAATGCAGATTGCCAGTTTCCCAAGTTATGTGCCCGTCACACTTCTGTCTGGTATTACATAAAACTAAGTCATGTTTTTCCACCAGTTCTAGTAATATAATAGTGTCCTTGTTTCTTTTTGTATTTGGTCATATGTATTCTCGTGCCTTGTGCACCCCTGTAACAACCCTAACGGGTTAACAGTATACCTAAATAAAATAAAAAAAATAAAAAATATGCTTCCAGTTGAGTCCGTATACCCATCCAGACCCTCAATATGGGCATTCATGTCTCCCATAATAATTATTTCGGAGCCTTCCCCTAGTTCACTAATGTCTTTAATAATCAATCATTTTTCTGTTTTCCTCTTTAGCACCTGTCCCTGTCCATAAGTAAACCACTCCAAGGACTGTTGATTCCCCAGCGACTTTTCCTTTCAGCCACAAATGTTCGGCGCACTCCTTTCTGATCCTTTGAAAGTTCATATTCTTCTTAATAAATGCTCCAATTCCACCTCCCTTCCTCGTTCCCTCCATTCTGTTGCATTCTTCCCACACATAGTCAGGGTTGCAAGGTGGCTGCTCCATGTCTCTGAGATGTGTTTCCACAAACCCATACACCATAAAATCCTCCTTTCTTAGTTGCTCCTTTACCTCTTCCCATTTTAACCTATTTCTACCACCCTGCATGTTAATATATCCAATGTCTGATTGTGCTGTTTTTTTATACCTGTTCTTACGTTTTCTCCTCTTTTTAACCCTGGGTGCCTCTCCTGACTTCGTTGGGTTTTCAATTACTTCAGTGCCCCCAGGGCCCTCGGTCCCCCCAAAAAAGCGGTCACCGTGAGGCCCATCCTATCCCCCACCCTGTAACCCGTGGCCTCACTGTAGTGAATGCCATCTGCAAAAGGGCGGGAGCCAGCCTCGTACACCTCTCTGTTTACTTCCATTACGTCGTACCGAAGCTGTCGACTCATACCCTTAATTACTCCGTTGGCTTCGACAACCCTCCTTATTCAGATTCGAGCGCCATCTATCGGACGTGGCGCCAACCTTCCTTCCGACGCCATCTTTGAGGCGACTGGCAAAGCGCTGTGGCCGTTTACGGCGCGTGAAAGCGACGCTCAACGACCGCACGACTGCTCTGTTCCGCTATCGTATTCAACGAGGAAAAATGAAAAACAACCGATGTAAAGATTCGAATCCTATGCGGAGGGCAAGTTCGTCTGCTCCTTGCGCAGGGGGTAGCGGTGACGTCAGAACGCCAAGCCCTGATTGGCTGATCGAGCCCCCCTATCTGAGCGTCGTCTGCTTCTTTGCAACGTCGTCTGCTCGCAACGTCGTCTGCGTCTGTCTTACGTTTCCTGCGACTTTCGGGAGTGCAGAGGCCAGATTCACGAAACGATCTTACGCCAAAAATGTGCGTAAGACAAAACTTAAGAACAAATTCGTATTCACGAAACGAAATTTTCGTAAGTTTTGCGCAGGTTACGGCGAAATCCTACGACAGCTCCGAAGATCTTACGCACTTCTTACGATCAAGTCAGCATGGCCGACAGCGTCGCGGTCGCGACGACCCACGGACGTTTATTTTTCTACGTGAGCTTCTCACGCGTCCTGACTTCAAGCAGCAAAAAAAAAAAAAGTAAAAATTATTTGAAACAGAGCACGACGAACAAGAACGCAGGATCCACAGACACCGGGGAAAAGCTCCAACGGCGACGATTCCACCGAACGCGACCAAACGAGCTGGGCAGTTAGGCCTAGCAGGCACTCCGCGACTCGGCGACCGTCTGCCCACGACCGGCAGACGTGCTGAATGGAATATGCCCGCGCGACCCTTGTGAACCCTTCCCGTGTTATACTTTGATCGCTGACCTCAATTTTAAGATTAAGAGGTCAATTTCTTCCTCTTGTTATCTCCTTGTTTCCCGAGGCAACGGTGACTCTCGCCGGTGAAAAAGCGGCGAATCTCCGACAGACGCAGGAAAGGTAAAGAAGCCATCGCTTTGACTAGCAGACGTAAAGCAGACGACGTTGACTGCGCCAACCCGCCGGCGCCGTTAAAGAGTGAGGGTCTCGCCGCACACGAATGGAGGTAAAAAGTATTTGGG